CCCAGATCGTGTGCCTCAGACACCTAATCTTAATTATGTCTCTACGAAGGGCTTTACCTCGAGAGTGGTCCCCCTACAGACATTGCCGATCGCATAAGCGCATCATTTCCGACCTTCCTTCTAAACTCGTGCACCAACGAGTGGTGAAAGACTTAGCTGAGGCCGACAGGTGCGATACATGCGACGGAATTGGTCCCCTCATTTATATAAATGTCTGTATGTAGAGACATCTTGGATGGCCTCCGCAAAGTGGGATTCAAGTTGAACGTGGGAGATGACGACTCTGGTCCTTTCCCGCTAATTTGGAAAAAGGGTGGGGGTTTTCACTTTGGTACGTCTTGCTCTCGTGTTTTCTTCTTTCTTCTTCTTCTCTTTCTTAAGTTGTTCAAACTTCTCGACGGGCTAACCGAGAGCACGAGAAAAGACGTTGGGGCATCGCAACAGATCATCGACGGGAAAATCAAGCTAAAAAGCAACGGGAGTATTACTAGGTTCACACCGAACGGATTGTTATTTGAGGACGGTTCAACCCTTGAAGCGGATGTAGTCATCTTGGCCACTGGGTGGGTAAACGTCTTTGATTCTGGAGCCGCCCAATCTTGCATGCCAAATAGCTACGCGGATGGGCGTATTGCGTATCTCCAGTTGCTACCAAGTCACTTGCATGATGCCGTTCAACCCCTTTGGGGCCTCGACGAGGAGGGAGAATTGTACTCCGTAGCCCGCGAAATCGGAGGACGAGGTCCCCAGGCTGCGAAAGTCGCTGGACTATGGGCAATGTTGGGCAATTTGGCCATGTGTCGTTTCCACTCCAAACATGTTGCATTGCGCGAGTAGTTCCGGCTGATCTGAGTTTTTTTGTCGGGCTGATATGGTTGGCAGAAATCAAGGCTTATGAAGAAGGCATATTTGGCGAGCGGTACTGACCTTGTCCTCACTAGTGATCGTGAGTTCCCTCGGAACGATCGAGAGGGAATGAGTGTCTCCTGTTGGGTCTTTGGTTTACCTAGGGGAGACTACCTCGGAGCAGTGGTCGTCTCAACTAGCTAAACCACAAGTTCAACCACAGCTGCTATAGATTGACTATATGTTACATGGTATCCTTGTTCTCATCTTCATTGACCCTATCCCGCAGATGATTGAAGTCTAGGTTTGTCTCTGGGTGCTTTGAATTACAATCTTCTCTCTCTCTCTCAAGTCCCCCGAGGATATTGACTGCGTGGTACATATACAACTTAGTGCTTCGCTTTCACCCCCGGAAACTGAGATACACATGTAAGTAATTGAGACCGGCTAACCCGATCATCTTACACTTGTCGAGTGTTGCAAAGTCCTTATGACGCGTTGAGGAAAGTACGAGGAATCTCAGAAATTGCAAGCCATGTATATAGACTTGTCGTTCCTGATTTTGCAGGATTCACTAACTTAGGGAATGCGAAAGTGCTAGAATCCTACTATACAGCAATCAACGCGCCGGAAGTAGCCCACGGCGACGAAGCCGAGAGAGGCGTATTATCATGTATTTATCACCTCTCCACGGGGGAGACAGGGTGGTGTAGTCCAGACGCCATGGAACTCCTCTTGACCTACCTGGGACCGCAGTCCTTCGAAGAGGCGTTGAAGGGGTGAGAGAGAGCCCCTCTGAGCAATGAACTGAGCTCGGGGGAAGCTGTATGTTGATCTGTGTAACCGCACATGTGCTTATCCGGGTCTTCGTCCATCTGAATAAGCATTATGCCTCCTTACAGCGTCCCGGGAACTTCAGTGTTGTCAACAGTGACCTTTTCCATAGGTCTATGGGCACAGCATTCCAGCCTCACTGACTCCTCGCTGGTGGAACGAAGTGACTACTAGTAAAGGGTGGCTCAAAGTTGGCGCCTACGCTGCCGTCGCCACCTACTCGCCCACAGCAAGACTGCTAGTTTTCTATGTAAGCGGAGTTACGGAGCGTTGCATAGAATTGAGTCCATGCGTGAGTAAGACACGTCTCTTGTCTTCTGCACACTTCGCGAATTGCAGATTCTGCGCCTCCAGCTGTCGCGCAGATCTCCTCTCGTTTTTCGCACCCACCCGCCTCGCCCTCTCTCAGGTCTAATCGCCTGCAGGCAGGTCATTGTCATTTGGCAAAGCTACGAAGAATTGACCTGCTCGGCACCCAACAGTTCCATCCGTTAAGCTCCTCGCCCCGGTATATATTATCTAGAACCCGCGGTGTCTCTGTTTTTCTTCCTTCACTGTACGTAGTTTCTCTCCAAGAAACAAAGCGTTCGAAACATATGGACCACAAATTAGCTATGGCCGTAGGCGGCGGTGGCGGCGTAGGCACCAACTTTGAGTAGTGACCCTAATGTCACACCAGCTTCCTCTTCCCCCTGCCGACCGCCAGACTTCGTACGCAACCCTGGCCGTCACCGATGGAACAGTCATCGTCACTTAGCAGATACCACGCGTCACCAAGATCCCGCATACTACAGTATCTCTCTGAACGGGCATCCAGATACAGTATTAATCTCGACGGTGAAATACGTCGCACCTGGGAGGGGGGTGTCCTGCGTGGCGGTAGTGCCACTATATACCACGGTACTTTGCTTCGAGACGGTACCCAAGTGGCAATCAAAGCCTTTCGTTACACGCTGTCGGAGAGCGAGGCTGAATTGAAGGTACTTGCAGGATTCTCGATGCTCGTCACAGCTCGAGCTGAGTTTTCCTATTCAGCGTCTATTTCGTGAGGTGCATACATGGTCCAAGCTGCATCACGAGAACATTGTTCGTATGCTCGGGATCTCTACAGAATTTGATTCCACACTTTCGATAATATCTGAATGGATGCCATTGGGGAACGCACACTCTTATGTCCAAAATACAGAGAATGATCCGCGGCCGCTTGTGCGTCAAAGCGTATGTTGTCATCTTCACACTACTTGACAGACTTGTTTAGCTTGAAGACATCGCAAGTGGCCTCTACTATCTTCATCATCATGAGCTGGGTCCAATAGTTCATGGAAATCTAAATGGTGTAAGCGTGCATGTTTTATAGGTTCTTGTAGTTGACCCATCCTTCGATAGTCAAATGTACTGATATCTAGCGATCGCCGGGCATTACTGACCGACTTTGGCGCTTCTACGCTACACTCATCTACCTTCAGCATGTCCGTCGATGCTATCCAACAAATCTCGTTCCGTTGGGCGGCCCCGGAGGTTCTAAATGACTGTCCTGCGTCAATGGAAGCCGAAGTGTGGGCATTTGGAATGACGGCTCTGGTGCGCTTTCCAGTTTTTCTCTTCGCGCAACGTTAAACGTACACGTAGGAGTTGTTCACTCGAGCGATACCTTTCCACGGTTGTGGTAGTATAAAACATGTGATCGACATGTTATTCGCGGGGAGGCTACCGCCTCGCCCTTCCGAGGAGTCAACGCAATTCCGCCTGACAGATGAATGGTGGAGCATTTGCACATCATGCTGGGGACGTGATCCTTCATCGCGCCCCACAATGCAGGATATCATAGAGAAAGTTAGGTTTGCTATTGTCCGTAGTCGACGCTTTCACCAAGTTCTCCATGATTTGACTCCGTTTTGCAGTACCCAGCTGGGGCGATCTTGATGTCGCAGCGACCCTCCGTTGAGCAGGATTGTTACCTACCGGATGTCCCACATCAACAACAAACAATGGAACTATCCCCCATGTTGCGCAGGCTCTCTGAACAGGCATCCCGATACAGTATTAATCTCGACGGTCGAATCAGTCGTAACTTGGGATCGAGTCCTCTGCGCGGCGGTACCGCCGTCGTATACCAAGGTACTTTGATTCCCTACGACACCAGAGTGGCGATCAAAGCCTTTCGTTGCACGCTATTGGGCAGCGAGGCTGACTTGAAGGTGCTTCCTCTGATAGTCTTCACAGCTCCAACTGAACATTCCCTGTTTAGCGTATCTTTCGAGAGGTACACCTGTGGTCGAAGCTGTGTCACGAGAATGTTGTTCCCATGCTCGGGATCTCTACAGAATTTGACTCCACTTTTTCGATAATATCTGAATGGATGTCATTGGGAAACTCACACGCATATGTCCAAAACACAGAACATGATCCGCGGCCGCTTGTGAGTCAAAACGGTGTACTGTTTACCTTGACACTAATTGACATACTTGTTTAGCTCAAAGACATCGCAACAGGATTGCAATATCTTCACAGTCATAAGTTGGGTTCAGTAGTTCATGGAGATCTGAAGGGTGTAAGCGTGCTCTGTCTATGATTTTTGTATTTGACCCATCCTTCAATAGTTCAATGTGCTCGTGTCCGATGAACGCCGGGCGCTACTGAGCGACTTCGGTTGTTCAACCCTAGATGTCTCTAATTTCAACATGGCTGTCGATGGCTTCCGTTGGGGCTCGTGCCATTGGATGGCGCCTGAGCTTTTGGGTGACTGCCCCGCATCAAAGGAAAGTGACGTGTGGGCATTTGGGATGACGGCTCTGGTACGCCTTCCGATTTGTTCCTTCGCGTAACGCTCATTGTATGCCCAGGAGTTGTTCACTCGAGCAGTACCTTTCCCCGATTGCCATAATGAAGCAAATGTACTCGGTAGGCTGGTAAGGCGGGAACTGCCACCTCGGCCCGCTGAGGAGTCAACGCAATTCCGCCTGACAGATGCATGGTGGGACATTTGCACATCATGCTGGAGAAGCGACCCTTCATCACGTCCCACAATGAGGGATATCATAGAGGGAGTCGAAGCTGCCATTGTGTGTACTCGACCCTTTCACTATGCTTCTGTGTTTTAACCGCGTTTTTGCAGTGTCAAGCTGGTCCCTCCTTAACACCCCCCGAAGTTTCCGCTTCTGCGTGTCCAATCTCAAAAGAGGCAGAGAGCCATCAGGAACCACAGTGAGTCAGAAGCTCTGGTACACCGACGTATCGGTATACTAACTCGGCGTATCTGCCTACTTTGCGTGTCATTGTCGCTCATCCGAATTTTTACTACTTTCTTGACAGGAGCCACGAGGTTGCAAGAAGTGATATTTCGACAGGCCAAGCGTCAGAAAGCATCGACTTGATGAAGACTGCTTCGGAATCCCCAGCTTGTGCTACTCATGCCAACATGTCCCCTCTCAGCACTGAGTTTGATATGTGCGCACGACCTGCCCTCTCCACAGCTGATCAGAGCAATTTGGTTAATTTGGAGCCAAATAATACTGAGGACGAATCTTCGCCAACAAGTTCCGAGAAGACCTCTCGACCAGTAGGTACGAGTTGAGTCTTGCCATGTTTCTAAGAGACCCACATCTCACCGGGATTGCCCCCGTACCTCAAGGGTCAGATGTTGCAGTCAAGTTCGACATCGGAGGTCATATCCCAAGGAGCTGATATATCGGAGGCAAATACAAAGAGCATGATAATTGGGTGAGTCGGATGTCATGTTTTGTCGCATCTGCCCAGTCATCCTCTTCAACTGCTCTTTAACTGCCAGATCAATGGAACCGACAGGTTCTGGGGAAAGTTCGGTGAGCACCTCATGAAACATGTATTACGGAGCATAAGCTGACTGGGTGTAGTTCATAGGCCAAAGCAAGGGGATAACGTACGAGGGCGTAACTCAAACGGAGAGCAAAGGAACAGATGAGGAGACCCCAAATAACTTCCGGAGTGAGTATTCCGAAGTGAAGGATCGATTAGAGTCTGCTTTGTTTGAGGTGCCAGCGTCGAAGATGTCGCTCAAACATCATGTCAGTAGAGGCATGCAGGCAGTACGGAAATGTGAATAAATCACTCCTTTCATTCCTGCTATATAGCTTCCCTTCTTCAGCGCTCCAACGCCGATAGGTACCACTACCTTGAGACCATCTCCCGTACGCAGCATGGTTGAGTAGTTGTTGACTCTCATGGTGGTGTGATATGTAGTCTTCTGTGGCATTGTGTTGCCTATCATGCTGCACTCTTTTTCCCTCCAGTGTCCAAGTACATTTGTGAAGATCACATGTATTCTGCTACATTGTGATGTGCACTGCTGCAATGCCTAAAAATCAAGTGTTTAGTAACTCTGCATCTGTATTTGGGAACTGCCATCTGTGAGAGTTTTCAGTGTGACTTACATTTATGACTAGATGTCTAGTGAGGTGCCCCTAAGGATGGATCAGTAACATTGTGCTGTGACAGGATGTAGGTGCCACACTTGTCTCTCTAAATTATTGCCAGCTGGGCTCTATTTGCACAGGTGCCCTACCACTCATTGATTAGTGCATGAAACTGACACCACAGCCTGCTTGTCCAACAAAAAGGGGGCCGCACCGACGTGAACACATAAAACATACTAACTACAGAAGTCCGGCCAAAGTAACTCACTACTTTCTTCGGAACAATGACCTTATGGACAGCCACGAACGGGAACGGGAGGGCAGAGTAGCATGATTCTCAGTGAGACTCTCCTCCATACGGCTCTCAGTATGGCCCTTGGTATCGTTCTCGGTATCTACAATCATCTCCACAATCCGCAACATCGTGGGTCGTTGAGATGGATCATATTTCCAACACAAGGAACATATCCGCCACCATTTTTCTGTGAGACGAGAGTAAGTGCACTCTGCTCCGGGGAGGTCCGGTGGCGGACCTCTCGTGATCCGGGTCATCACGGCAGGAAATTGATTGAGACTATGAAAAGGTAGTCTCCTGGTGAAAAGCTCCTGCACAGAAGACAGCGATCGACGGTAGTATCAATAAGAGGGCTCCGAGAAACTTACCAGCGCAGTCATCCCAAACGCCCACACATCAACTTCGGGAGTCACCCTGCTGGCATCCAAATCAAAATCCAAACGCTCCGGAGCCATCCATGGTACTGAACCCAAACAGGGAACCTCAACTGACAAGTCAAACGCAGAGTTGACGAGAAAGGAGAAACCAAAACCCGTGAGAAGCGGCTGTCCTTCGTCAGATATTAGGACATTAAACTGCTGTGGAATTATGAACCAAAACCAGGAGGGGCAGACTAAGCTACTCACACCCTTCACGTCGCCATGGTATACTGGCGGTTGATGATCATGGAGGTAACGTAATCCTTTAGCTATCCCTAAGATCTGGCTTGGATCGACGTCGAAGAAGCCTATCTCAAGCTCCATGCGCTTACCAAGGGGCGAGGATCAATGGTGGGGTCCTGCACGTATTCGTGTGCATTTCGATCCATCCAAGGTGACACTATGGAGATAGTCTTGTCGAACGTAGTAGTAATACCCAACAACAGAAGAATATTTTTGTGGCGGAGCTGGCACAAGAGGTATACCTCCCGCAATACCCACTGCCCACTGCTATAACACTCAAGAAAAGCGGTTGATATACGTTGACTACAAACCTTTTGACCGTGGTCCTCTTCTCCAAATGCTCGTGACCGGAAAGTCTTGAGCGCTACCTTCCTACCCTCGGGGCGCAGTATCCCTCGATATGTGAAGGAAAAGCCGTCATGAAGAGATGGAGTTTTGTCTCGTTCGACGAGCCATGCAAAATCAACGCAATACCGTGAACCAAGTCTCAGCAACTTATCGACGTCTTCTTGAGCGGCTTCCTGCGTTTCTTAGATCTGTTCACTGAAAAGATTTGAACAAGGATACGCACATGTCGCCTAGGTGGATCAGCGGGAAGCGACATATTCGTTCCAAAAACACTGCAGGTTTGCTCGAATCTTATATCCCAACACTGTTTCTGGAGTCGAGAGGGAACGATTAGGGTGGCTCAAAGTTGGCGCCTAGCCACCGCCACCACCTTCGCCTATATACAGCTAACTTGTGGGTGATTGAAGTCCAAGTTTTGTCTCTGGATGCCTTGAATCATGATCTCGTTTCCTAAGTTCCTTGTGGGGATCAACTACCGTGGTATATATGCAGCTCAGTGCTTCGGCTTCATCCCTAGGAACTGAGATACGTAGGCGTGCATGAGAACAAAATTTGATTACCTTTACCCCTTCAGTGCCGCCCACTATCGAAGAAAATACAGGGAATCTCTATTGCAGACGGTGTATATAGACATGTCATTCCTGATCTTGCAGGATTCACTAACTTAGAGAATGCGAAAAGTAAAGATGACCAACCCGCCGGAAAACAGCCCACCATTGACGAAGCTAAGAGAGACGAACTTACCGCCCGCCTCTCTAGACAGCCTCCCACTTTCAACTGTGCTCTATGATCACCATCGCCATCATTGTCTACATAATAGTATTGTCCAAAGCCCGACCACGAGCACTTGCAGGCGCTGCCAGCCGTCACGCCCCCGCTTTAGAGCGAGGACGTCTCAGCGTTCGCGGGCGAGCTGCTGTTCCCAGTAGCACCATTACCCCGCTCCCCGAGGATATACAACATATGATCGACGACCTCCTCAGGAGTCGTCACATGCCAACCTGCCAGCGTCCGCTTCGAACTGGGTCCTACGGAGGTAGTGAAAATATCTTCAGGCTGAATCGCAAGTTCGACATCCGGTGCTGCGGGAGACGAGCCGGAAGACGACGAGGATTTATTGGCGAGTGTTACTGAGAGGGGTGCTTCCATGGTCGTCCTCCCAGAGGGAGAGGAAGGGAAAACATGGAGTGCGCGGAACATATCTTCGTCGGTCTATGTAAACGCGTGAACATCGGTGTCGTCAACGGGTGGGAGTGGAGTCTTACTTTGTCATCACCCGCACAAAAGACGAGCTCTGCATCCGGATTCGTGTATAAGAGACGCTTGACAATTTCGCCCTGTGGTAGCATATCGAAGGTAGATGAGTTTTCGCGTTCAAATTAACACAGGTCAAGAGGATATTCAAGGGAGCACGTTACCTTGTTGACAGCGATCGGCCGGACCTCGAGGTTCTTTTTCCCAACAAGCACCTCGATCGGGCGCTTAGAAACCACGTTATTCTCTAATAAGTCTTGGCACTGCCTGCACTGGAACAACCTATCCCAACAACGGTTACAAAGAGACACCAGAAAAAACAAAACAAAAGAAGGCGCTTACCCCCACTCCGGATCGCTGGCTCTATAGTGCCACACGATTGCAGACTTCTTAACCTCAATGTGACTTCCGGTCGTCCGTTCCGTGTAATACTTGAATATCTCCAAAACCTCTTCCATCCATCCCATATCCAACTTTTCCGTGAAATTAATCCACTTGCGATTGCTGTCGTGAGGTTCGCGTACGAAGCCACCGTGTTCGGCACTCATACCGAGGTGTTGGATGTGGCCAAGGTGGAGTTCGAGGAAGGCTTGGTCTCGCCCCGAGACGATATACACGATGTTAGCTGGGTCGGAAGTGAGTTTTGTCAGCGCAAGGAGGGCATCGTTGGAGGGAACGGCCATGGCGGGGGTCTTGACGATCGGGGTCAATGTCCCCTGTGTTCACATCACGCCAAATCCAGTCCGTCAGTACATGCAGAGAACAACCAGAGAAAGGACCCACGTCATAATCAAACAAAAACAGCCTCTTCTTCGCCCGATCGTAGCTCTCCTTCAGCCTATCCTTGGGTAAGTACGGCGTGCGCCTCGCCGTAGTCTGCCCAGTGATCTGGGAGAGTAACATTTTCACGAGGACGGACGCCCAGGTGTGAGAGGTGTGCGTCGTCACGACGCGATGGAGTGCTGCATGTCTCGAGGCCTTCGATTCTTCGGACATGAGAAGACCGCGGTTCATGGCAGCGGCAACGTCCTGTCCTGCACATCAACCAAAGCAAAAATCAAAAGGTAACGGAGACGCACACCAAGATCCCAGGGGTTAACCAGTAATGCCTCAGACATATGTTGGCTAATGCCCATAAATTCGCTCAACACCAACGGCGACTTCTTGGTTATCTCCTGTGCGATCACAAACTCCATGGACGTCGTGTTCATTCCATCTCGGAGGGGGGTGATTACGCCTAGGTCAGCTGCTTCTAATAGCGCATAAAATTCATCTTTCTTAAGTGTTTGGTGGCTAGAGGAAGATGCGGCAGAGCACCGCGCTATGAGTGGGACGACTAGGCCAGAAAAGAAAAGAGACATACTAGTGGTGAACGGGTATAAAATGGAGACTTCCGTATTCTCCGTTGATGTGTGCGATGAGCTCGGAGACTTGCCTTTCCAACTTGGGCGAATCCGTCAAAGCCGGGGACGTCACCTATACTCGTACACACAAGCGTACAGGCACGGCATACAAATCAGTTTTGTCGTTCCGTCGGCCAAACGCAAGACCAAGCGGTCATGGATGACTACACACCTGAATAAGTACCACCTCGCCTCTCCACTCTGGATAATCGTGTAAGAGCTTCTCAAATGCACGGAGCTGCGATCGTCAATAGAGGCGCGTCAGATGTATCTCCAAAACAGGGGAAAGTGTAGAGGCACACCTTCTGAAGGACCCCTTTGACGACGTCCAACTTATCTCTTCCAACTATGATCTTTTTATCTCTATACAAGGTTCTAAGCGCATCAAGCTTCGGCTGAACACCAGGTCTCAGGCTATCCGAATCACACGTAATGAATACGATCGTCGACCGGAATTAGGAGAAAGAAACTCACGTATCCCTCTTCACTCTCTCCGCATCGATCCCGACGGGACAATGCCCGACAGCGACGAAGTGACCCTGGGCGTCGACGCCTACATATTTCTCACCAATGTTGCGTTTCGTGGGTGACCGTTCGAGCTCGACTGGGCCTGCAGTCTTCCCGGTAGTGGCGATGGTGGTGATAGCATTAGCGCATGGAGAAGAACATGAGCCGTTAAGGTTCGATGCGGCCGGATTATTCGTGGGTATCGTGGGTGCGACGACCGTGCGAGATGTGGTCTCGTGTCCGCAGACGCGGACACAAGTGGAGAGGAAGTGTCGGGAGTAGGAGTATGTCTTTAGAGGATATAATGTAAGACATACAAGATGATGGACAAGCCGGATCAGAATACACACCTGGAAACACACGAGGTTGGCGCCAAGCATTCCTTCAAGGATTTCATTTCTGCCTGTGGGTGGGTATCAGCTGATTGGACCATTCCACACAAAAGCGACAGTGAGGGTGCTTACGCGGCAGGCATCTGAATACCTCAGAGCTCGGGAATGGGGTGTGGACAAACAACCCGATGATGACATCTGAACCTCGCTCGCCCACGGCTGCCCTCAACAGACGAGGAACGAGTAAAAGATGGTAGTCGTGCACCCAGACAACATCGCCAAGTTTGAGCACGGATGCGAGGCGGGATGCAAAGGCTTGATTAGCCTGATGAGATCCGATCAGGTGGATTATTTCATGAGAAGCATCAAGAAAGATCGCTGAGAGTCAGTATTCAGTAGTGTATAGACGACAGTGCGAACCTGCTCGTATTGTTCGTAGTTTGCGTCAGCGGACGCATACTCGGTAGCGACATCTTGCCAGAGGAGGTAGTGGAAGAGAGGCCAGAGAGCTGGAAGATGTGTGGTTAGCATCGTCGTTGTATGGGTCGATCATGTCCCGGTAATCAACGTGCATGCAAATCGTTCTCGATATCCGCGAAGGATGTCAAAGCAAGACAGCGTCCGACACCCAAAAGGCAAGTTGAACCCTGAAACAGCCACGTTTGTCGGGAGTAATAGGAAGAGAAGGACACGGTGGCAGATACGATCAACAGCAACAAAAAACAGGAGAAACTACAAAAAGGGCAAGTTGGTGTCGACACGACTCACTCATCTTGCAATATCCATCGTAGTGGCCGTGAGCGACCTTGTCCTCTAACCAGACGGGAACGTAATCGATCTTATGTGCTCCGGTGGTGCCCTGACCGTCATCGTCGTAACCGACGAGCTCGGCTTCGAGGGCGTCCCTGTCTGCCTGAGTCACCTGAGCACTAGGCACGCGTTCACCCGAGGGTGCCACGTTCTCCTCCGGGTTGGAGGTAGCCCCATTGGGGACGGACATGATATCACCAGTCCATCCGACGATGAGCTGATCGTGGGTGGCTGAGAGGGAGCGGATACCTGAGAACATGGCAGCGTGGCCATAGCGCGGTGCGAGTTTCCACCTTTTCGGATCTAATGAGTTGGAGTCACCATGGGCCCCATTGGCAGCGGTGGCTGCTGCTGACTCGTCCGATGGGCTTGGTGGTACCTCGCCCGGTAGAACAGGAGGAGTGGGTGGAGGCGAGAGGACGCCGGCGGGTGTGCGAGTGACAAGAGAGGGCACGACTGGCAAGTAGTGGCATACATGGACGATTCGGCCGGAGAGAGGCGTGCCCTGTGTGCGATGAGCGTCTTCGAGTGCAGAAACCTGCTTGCGGACTGCGTCGAGAGAGATGTCGTCGCCTGCGCGGGTGTATGGCTCTGCAAAGGTGTCCATGCAAGATGTTTCTAGGCAAGGAAGGGAAGGACGGTCGGGTTTATATGGAGATGGATTATCTACCAACTAGACTAGTTAAGAGCTGGAATCTGATTTATGGGTGGCGTCCGCTCGATTAAGGACGACGTCAGCCTCCGCTCTCTCGGCATCCCCCGGCCCGGCATCCTGCCTATTTGGCCGACGAGGCGCGTCTTTCCAGCCTGCTCCGCCAAATCAGACAGCCGCTGGACTCCCCCCGGAACTCCGATAGACTACAGCCCTGATTGCCAGCGTGTCATCAATGGAGATTTCAGGATCAGTCCTGCGCCACGTGCGCCACAGGAAAGTCTAGGGATCGGTCTGGGCCAGTCATAAACGTTTGCGGGAGACGCAAGCAGCCAGCACTTGTAGTTAAACGAGTGGTCGTCGTACCAGGACCCCTTTCCGGACTCAACGAGAAAAGGCAGCTATTGTTTAGCCTCATGTCATTATGTTGCAAATTTATTTGGTCCATTGTCACATGCCCCCATTGTAAGCAGCATGTAATGGACCACTTGCCACCATAATGGTCAGGTTTGGCTAGATTATAGCAAATATGTGATATTTTATCTAAGATATAGTGCAAATGTGTAAAATATTATGTACACATACCCATTTTTGGCAATCTTTCAATGACACATGGGTGGCATTGGCATGGCTTATAACGGGTGTGAACAGCCGCCCTTAACATGTATTATAAGGTTCTTATCATGTGCCCAAGAAATTTGCAACATTATAGCTACACAGTTCGAAAAATTGGCAGGTGGCGATGCCGTGGGAACTTCCTTAAAAGGAAAGGCCGCCCTCAGGCAGGTGGGTGGGGAGGGGGTTCAAGCATTTGGGGTGGGCCCTGCTGGGCATCACAATGTCAGGGCTCAGGCAGGATGGCTTGGGAGGGTGCTGAGGAACTCTGTTCACATCCTACATGTGTTTATCTATGCTCTTAACCAATAAAAAGTGGGAAATTGGCATCAGGAATGGGTTGTAAAGTGCAAAATCTATTGTAAAGTGTGCTAAGTGACTTAGCACCAGGAAATTTGCAGCCAGATAAGCAAATTTTCCCAGGTGGGAGGGTGGCCCATGCCAATTTTTTTGCAAGCATGCAGCCAAGCCCAAAGTGCAAGCACCACATGCAAGGTGTGATCACATGACTGCTTCCCATGCCTGAACACCACTCATCTAGCAAATTTGGGCAGGTCTCTTCACAGAATACCCATTCATTTCATGAATAGTTGCATGGCTGACATAGAGTGGCTTCCAGTAGCATTGAATTGAGTACAGATGTATGGGCAAGGGTTGAGCACAGCCCAGAAGTCTCCCAACCCTCACTTTCTCACACACACACACCTTCCGCTTAGTCAGCGAAATTTGCAGTGGCTGTAAGCACAGCCACCTGCAAATTTTTTGGAATAAATGTACATAATTACACAGGATGATGGCAATGACAACTGCAAATGCTCATGAACCAGCCACTTCATCTCAATTCTGTTGCATGACTTTACTATTCATTGACCTGAACCTAATTCTTTTTGATGGGTGTGAATCATGTTCTTCTATAGGGCACTTTGAGCCTGATGCAATGACTGAGGTGCAGTCTACTGGCTCTACCAACACAAATAAAATGATTGAAATGAGCAAACATAGCAGTGGGATTTGCCATAAATACCTGTCAATGTGAGTGGGCAGTGATGAATATGTAGATGGTGAGTTTTGTCAGACATGTAACAGCCTTGTAGAGTTTGTTCACTTCCACAGCACTCAGGTCATGGATTCCTCTGTCACCACATTTGTGGAGAACTCCAGCCAGCCAATTGACCAGTGCAAACCTGTGCTTCTCCAGGTCTTTCTTGAGAGTATACCAAGGCAACCACTCGTAGTGTAATTTGAGCTTCCCTGAGTACATCAGATCATATGGGTGATCTAAGATTGTTGTCATTGACTTACTGAGCATATCAAGAAGTTTATCCTTTATTGCCTCAACCTTGTCTGACTTTGATGGCTTCAATGAACCACCATCTCCCAGTATGTGTCTTAGGGTGCTTTCCCTTGCATCCCTAATTAGTTGTGAGGCACTTCCAAATCAAGGGAGTGTGACATACTCAAGACATGGCCAATTGTGACCATCTGAATGGTGGAAACAATTGGATGCATCCAAACCACAGGAGTTAAGGTACTTCCTCTGGTGTCAACCTTGTCAGGAGGAAGCATCATGCAAGACATGATAGTGGACTGACCAGTTTAAGGAATTTCACAACCACTCCCAACTGCACCTCATCTTTCAAAAGCCTCAGGTTACATAGCATAGCTGTGAATGCCTCCATTCCTGCAGGTTCCTGAATGTTGGCTTCTAGGGATCCCTGCCATGATGGAGAAACATGTCCTCTCTGTGTGTCATTATTGCCAGAACCCATTACATCAAAGCCTGTGGATGGTGATGCATCAGCAAAGGACTTCATACAGATAGCTCTGCACTTCTGACAGGGATAGACATCAATGTTATTGCTCTGAAGGAACATTGCTACATCAATGAAGATGACAGTGCTGAGGTGCAGCTGTTGGCCATCTCAGTCAGAGGGGACCTAGTCATCATCATCATGTATGTTAGACTTGCTAAAGAAATGTTCTTCAGAATAGTCCCAGTCAAGTTCATGGCAAAGCCTGATGCTTGTAGAAGACAACTGGGGGAGCATGGGCATATCAAAGCATTTAAGGGAGGTGTGAAGAACAAGCAAAAAATCTCTGTGCCAGTACTGGTCATGCAGATTACTGTTTTTGCTAACAAGGTTACTGTGAATCATCAATGCAGTTATACCTAGTACCATCCAAGGGTCATGTGTACCATCAAAGATGTTATCAGGAACTTGAAGTTCATCCAACTCCAACTCTGAGTTATTATCTGATGCACAAGACAGCTGCACAACATGCTCCCACAAGGGTTGCAGGTACTTGTTGACATATGGAAGATATTGCATGTCCAAGCTATACTCCTTCATCAAAGGTTCCAGTTTTTTGTCCAACATATACTTTGCTGTTGGGATTAGATGCCATGAGAAGACTCCCATTTTAAGGATGCTGCAACAGTAGGAGGAAAAGGCTTCCAGCAATGAGACATGCAAAATCACTGTATGTTCAGCAGTTATGTCCTTGTATCATGATCTGACCCTTGTGAGTGGTCAGTTATACTAAGGCAAAGATATGATGTGAAGCTAGACCTACAAGGACTGGCAACACTTGCAGGATTTGCAACCCACCTCCAAGATGGGAGGTTTTCCCTCCAACCAAATGATCATATTGAACCATTTCTGCATACCACACCAATCTGTTGGAGAGCATATGCACCCATCTTCCTTGGCTTCTGTCAAGGCATTGGTCCAGGAATTGGTTTCAGAATGAAACTCTTCCCAGTACTTGCCCATGATACATCAGCAAAACACAAAAATGTGTTAGTAACTCATAGCTGCCCATAGTATTTGCACAATTCCATATTAGTCCAAAGCAATGTCAAGCATCCTAGCAACTCATAGTGCCAGAGTAGACTACACCAGACTTGCCCAAACTAGTGGCCAGCATCCAAGCAACTCATAGCACCTGAGTAAGCCACACCAGTGATACCAGCAATCCAAAGACCAATAGCTACCTAGCATACAAGGGAACAGACACACCTAGTTAACACACTTTGTTCCTATGCATGAAGGCAACAACACACAGACATAACATACAGCATTTTTCAATAAGTACAGGAAAGTAATGGATAGTACTAGTCTACATGAATGGCAAGTATTTGACTACCAGCATGCTCAATAACTGTGCCTATCAAGATCTGGCATAAGTAAAATAGTGGCCCAAAAGAAAAGAGTGAGCATAGCATACCATTGGACTTGAGAGATGGCTGCAGCTCACCAGCCAGAACACCAACATCAAAAGTAGGCTCCCCCAGTCTGTGTTTTTTCATTGCTACACATAATGAGCTGACCTCCATATCTTTTTTGTGGACTCTCACCTCGCCACTGCCTGCCTTGTACTTGTACAACTTGGCCATCGATTCATATTTGTGGGTGATGCATGCAGCCAGAGCTTGTTCTGCATGAAAGACTTTGTGTTGTGTGCATGCTACATTGAGAAGGAGAAGTGCCTCGTGAGAAAGTTGATGGATCTCCCCAACAATTCCATTGTAAATCCTCTTGCACCTCTGCCCACTCAGCAGAAAAAGGGTGTGGGCCACAGTGCTGGCCAGAATGCAAAACCGAAGGTCAGTTCTAGTTATTTGCAAATATCAAGCTAACTGCTTGCAAAGTCCAATGTTGCCCCACCACCCTATGTGCCTCCCATTGTGAATGGTCCTAGCCCAGCTGATATGCCTCCAGTGAGTGTCTTTTCATACTGATATACAATGTTCATTTCAGAATCCCATCCCTCAGTCTTCAACAGCAGTAGCAACACCTGTCTTCCATCAGCACCCCACAGACTCCCATCACTTTGGTTTCAGTGTTCTGGCTCAACAGCCAGGTCATATCATGCCTCCCAGGATGGAACCTGACCTTCAAGTGCTCAATAATCCTTATATTGCCACAATTCAGGGAGACCAAGTTCCCAGTAATACATCTCATCTGCCAACACCCCAGCCCAACTACCAGTCTTGGTTTATCCCCCACCAGCCACCTGCTACCATCCCTGACTCTTGTATTGACCCCTCCCTTGATAGCTTGCTCTCATCAAGACAAACTTTGGCAACTGCTGACATTCACCACAAGAGTTTGGAGAAGCTGTCATCAGAGGGCTCCTCAGAAGAGGAGTTGGAGTCCTTGAGTAGTAACCCATTGGACACAGAGGCTGGTGAGGTCTCTGGCAATGAGTCCAACAAAGATGAGGACAATGCATTTGGATGGGGTGCAAAGAATCTTAGGCAATCAACTCATCCTGGTACATGTCAGAGGTTATTATGGTATTGGCTCAACATTCTTTGTTAGGCTTCTCCCAAGAAATGATGACAAGCAATCCTATTCACCACAATTCCTTACCCCCTGACCACAAGTTTCAGTACTCATGTGATGAGGATGATGATGTGGCTCTGTGAAGCTTACAATCCAAGGACAAGGCTCAGCCAGAGGTATGAAAATGCCATTCCTGCTAGCTTTATTTATTCAGATTGTTATTTTAGGGTTCCCAACATGGTGCTGTCATCGACATTCTTGAATGCCACCATCACACTAACAGCTGTCCTTCTGTTCCTGATCATGATCTTCTGACCCTTGTGCATGACTCAGTCAACGAAGTATCTCAGCGCACCAGAGCCCCTTGTAACTCCAAGAAAGCTAAGGATGAGGGCCCATTGCCTTCACAACTGAGATTTTACAAGGCAGTATGGAAGGACTGTCTCAAAGATGCTAAGCAAGAATGCAGGGCTGCACATCCACTTTCTAACCTGTTCCCATCGAAATCTCATGACTTCAACCTCTCCATAATGGAGGTGCTCATCACTGTCATCATTGAGTGGAATCAATGCAGTGTGCAATTTGAAGATGATGAGTAACAATATTTTCACTTTATACATGTCTCATTATCCTAACTTTATAGGTTACTGGCCTGACCACAAGCAAGATATGGCATGCCTCATAAGTAGTCCCATCTTTTGGTTACAGCTACTGACATACCACCAGTAGCTCCTTGATGATATATCTACCTGGCATTTGGAATTGAAGTCAGTTACACTGGCAACCATGCCATCTGCATTCAACCTTATCCCTCCTTCTGATGTTGCACCATGGGTTTGTGTACAATGGATAGAGACCACTGCCACAAAGCTCCTTGACAACTTGCTTTTCCTGTGAGATAGTTTTGACAAGAATGTACATTCACATGGTTTCTTGTCTGCACTACTAACAGATTGGTTTATCAGGGAAAAACCAGGAATTTCACTCACCCCACCATCAAGGAAGCTGTCATACAATTCTACTATACTGGGACCTATTGAATTGTGGATAAGCATCCTGAGTCCTTCAACAATTCAGTTCCCCTTTCCTGTCTGGCTCTCATAGCAGCTGCAGTGAGTTATTTTACACCCTGAGTCACTGCAACTCAAACTTTTCTCACAGTATCATTGTGTGTTGGATGGATTTGTGAAGAATGGCACAGGAAAGACAATGCCTCAATTCTCTGGCAAGGCTTACATTTCCATTTTCCATGGCATGATGAAGGTGCTGAATGACATCCTTCATAATCCCTATCATGGTGTGAGGTTGTGTGATCAGCTTTCTCAGTGGGTGAAGGAAGGATGGTAAGTACTGGGGTGGCTGATGTGCTCATGCTGACACCTTGTATCAGGGCTGCACTGAAAGAGGTTGATTCAAATGTAGAGAGGTACCAGCACATTCAGGCAGTCCTTGATTGATTTCATAATACCTAGTCCTGTTGTACCTGTCATTACATGTAGTATGCAATTGATGCCAATGCTCCTGTTCCTGTCATACCTGCTGTGAACTGTTCCTAGTTGTGGAGTGATCACATGTTTGCAAAGTAAACATTGAGATGGGGAGTACTGGACAACACCCCAAGGAGAATACAGTCTGGCCAGTTTTGTACAGTGATATCTAAGCATGAAAGTTCCATAGCAATCCATAGTAAGTAAGATACTGGACAAAGTTCCATGACAATGTGACCATTCCATAGTAACAGGCAACTAGCCATAGCAAAAAGTGTTGTTGGGTGCATCTGTCCAGCCTGGACCTAGCTAGGGGACTCTGTGTATTATGGAGCACTGTGGAGAGCTCCACAGCTCAAAGTGATTTACTGATGTATCAGAGTAGATACTATGCATGGAGTCCTGAGCATGGGAGGAGTACAGCCATGAGAGGTGAACAGTTCTGCCACCCCACTGGAGCTGATGATTAACCACCTAATGGCAGAAAGGCACTGTCACACACCAAAGGTGTTGTGGACATGGTTACAGCTGACTCTGCCTAACTTGTCAACAAGTTGTGTGCAATGTCCATGAATGCAGATGAAGACTGAAGGCCTCATGTGTAGAAAGACTGCTGGATGTAAGCAGTCATCCTTCACACAAGAATGACTCATCAGTGCTAAAGAGAAAAGAGGAAGTGAGTTAAGCATGCATTAAAAGTTTTTAGTGCCCATGTATGGCATTCCAGTTTTCATCATATCTCCACCATTTCCAAAGATATTGACTCCATTCTCACACTTGCTTAATGTGCTCAGCCATGCAATTCTGCCTTCCAAATTTGGAGAGGATCCTCACACCCTACACATTTCTACAGCACTCCATCCCTCAGACACTCATTTTGTGAAGTCCATCAATAATGGCCACCTCTTCATTGATCATCTCACTTGTCTCATTTGCCAGAGACAGTGGCTACATATATCTGCCAGTCATTCCCACCAGCTTCTGTCCTGAAGCCCCCTGGTTCATCCCATCATTGTCGGCCCCATCTCATCCCATGCAGCTTGGTCAGCATGTTCCCCTCATCAGTATGACTTCCAGAAGGACATTTTTTGGTTGCCTCAGGTCTGTCACTCAGTTAGAAAGGTCTTATGTGGTCATTTCAGTCTCCCTAGTTGATGAAGCATTTGGATTGTTCCTCCATGCTCCCTGCACTGTCTTTATCCCAATCTTGTCCATCATTCTCCCCATGTTGTGACAGCTGCAGCATAATCTACTGTTCTCCAGCCTCCACTGCAAGCATTTCACAATTTTTCATGACAGAACATGTTGAAAAAAATTGAAAGAAGAGATACAATGTGATTTTGGATGTTTTCAAACAAAAAATCCAAAATTAATAATTTATTTTCTTTGCATGTCCCACCTATAAACATTAATTGATGGTAATGACCATTAGCTTCTAGTCTAATGACAATTACTGTCAATTTATGTTTGCTGGTGGAGAAAGCAAAGAAAATGAAATATTATTTTTGGATTTTGCCTCTGATAACATCCATTATAACATGGTATCTCTTCCTTCAAATTTTTTCAACATGTTTGGTCATGAAAAAGTTTGAAATGCTTGCAGTGCTCCCTGATTGCATCCATGACAAGTATGATGTGCATCTTGCCTTCTTACTGCAAGATTCAGCAGAGGATGTCCCCCCTTCTCCTCCTCCATCAGAGCCCTGTCCATGAAGCTTTTGTTAACTTTACTGAGCAGATGAAGGGGTGGGAGATGCAATCACATATGCTCCCATTGCCCCACAGACCCCCAACACCCTAGCCCCTTTGATGCCTGACTCATGCCCTTCAATTCTGGAATTAATACTTCCCTATCTGGAAACACCATCGTTCTGTCATGCCATCTTTGGATCTAGTGATGTCTCTGCCAAGATCTGACTTGCATCACCACCCCCTAATGTGATATCAGTGTGCTTACTCAGTTTCTGACTCTATTTGACTCATTCTGTGATATTTTGACTGTCCTTAACTTGTTCATTGCCAATACTTACCAATCTTCTTTGCTTGCTTACTTTTCATTTCTTGCTTACTCATCATGATTACTCAGTCCTTACTCATTACTTACCAAGCATTTAGTCATAACTAATGTAAAACATACAAACATGTGGACAGTTTTTTGAGCCACTGTATCTAGTAGAACATACCATCTATCACTTTGCTATACTGAACCCCAGGTAACATAGCATATACATCACTCCACACCCCAATTGCACCAAAAGGCAGTATATTTCAAAGTATATTTCAAAGACAACACATGTACAGTAGTGGGCAAGTGGTAGCTATGGTCTAACCTCAATCTGACTCATCCTCTGTTGTTGACTCATCCTGATGTTCCTTGATTGCAGCCACAATGATGCATGCCAAAACCTTGCACTGGGACTCTGTCATGAGTGCACCAGCACCTGAGTGAACACTACTTATAGAATTAGTTATGATGCACCTTGATGTATGGAAGCACACACTGGCCAATGGCATTTATCTTAGAACATATGGCTGGTAAGACACCAACCTCCTTAGTGGCATTATTGAAATCTTGAAGGCACTTCAGGTACAACTTGGAGATGGAACAATATTCCTATGTGGTGAAGGATATACAGTGAGGGACAAAAGCATTGCAATGTTTGTGAGGTGTGACTTGTTGCTGATGTAGCTTGGGCTATTCTGCATGGATAATTGTGATACTTACACCAATGGAAAGGGGTGACTCTAAGCTTTCTGGAGCACTAAGGTTAAGCCAAAATGAAGCAATACATACTGAGATACACCCTATTCTTTCCAAAAAGTGCATTGCAATGCTTTTGTCCCTGACTGGTAAAATAGTGAAAAGTGACCTTTTGATGGGATTGAGGGCATGAAGGATGGGAAAATATGATTACATAATAAACCACATGATCATCCAGATGATTTGTCAGCATGTAAACAATGACAAACATTGGACTTGTACCATTAACCCTCCCTCTTTTACCACAACTCATGAAATCATCTCTCTAGCTCACATGGTCATTTTCTCAAGGAATTCTTATCAAATACTGGTGGCCACCACAGTGCCATCAGTATAACATGCTCTCAGAACCATCAGTGCCTTAAAAAACCTGCTGCCAGTCATTTCCTGGACTGTTTCCCCCCCATGCCTGATGTGTTTTGGGACTAATCAGTACTTGGAAGGCTGAAAATGTTATGGAGGTCAATCTGGCACTTCAGAACATGATGGACAAACCAGTCCCCTCTCAACCAATGCATTTCCGGCAAAGGAACACTGGTATGGAAGTTGGGGTGAGACAAAACCTCCTTGTGTTCTGAGCACCATAAGGGGGTTCACTAGATCTTGCTCTGATCTGAACTGTAGATGACTGGGGAAGGATTATTTGGTCATATGTGACCAAAGGCAATATTCAGGGCCAGATGGAAGCACAGGATTCTGCTCCATGGCAGTTCAGTAGCATATCCTTCTGATGACACCCAGGGGTAAAGCAGATTTTGTCTTGCCCTAACTTCCATACCACTGTCCCTGTGCTAGAAGTGCATTGGTTGAGAGGGGACTGGTTTGTCCATCATGTTCTGAAGTGCTGTTCCTATCATAAACAAACCAATCACCCATTAACTAGTGCATTTCTGTGAAGGGGAAACTGGTATAGAGGTCAGGGTGAAGCTAAACCCTCTCTCACTCCACATACCATGAGGGATATGCTTCTGAGCTACCAGGTTGCACATTCCTGGCCTTCTATCTGGCACTGGATTTTTTCTTTAGTCTTATATGACCAAATAACTCATTCCTAGTGATCCTGTTAAGCCAATGATTCATATCACATCATGAATTGAATACTGAAGTACAAGCACATGACTGCATGAGAAGTGATGTGTAATTTAACTTCACTAGTGAATGGAGCACTAGTCTTGGCCAAGCAAAATCACACTGTCAAGTCCCAGAGGTACAGTGAGCAGGGTTAAGTGCAGTTGCAAAGTAGATTTTGAATGAGGAGCTGGTACAATACCTGTGGGTTTATATACATATGTACAGTACCTGCAGAACAAACATTCAAAAGCAACTAAACATTCACCTGTGTATTGTATAAGGCAGGACCAAGTCACTCTTGTGAGGGCACATGGGTGAATGGACTGCAGACATGGGGTTAAATGTGCAAAGAGGGAATAAATGTACATGAGGGTTCAAATGAGTGTGAGGGTTTACATGTGCATGATGTCATAGGTGTAAATGGGTCACCCAGGGTGGACAGGTTAACCATGTCACATGACTGCATGGATCAGGGCCACCAGCAGAGCACAGAAGGAAGGGGGAATGGATGCAATGTCTGGCTATAGTACAACACAGGGTAAACAGGGGGATACCATAAAAGGAAACATACTAAGAGAATGCAAGACCAGAGGTGGCTCACAGGCAGCAGAACATTGTCACTTGAAAGCATGATGAGTGGCAACATACAAAGTCTATAAAAGGAAGGAAATGTGAGTGCAGTGTAACCTCACCCCCCCTTCGAATGCCTGAGGACCTTGGACTTTCCCTTACAGGTGTCCTTATGGGCTCACTGAGTTGTGGGAGCTGAGCAGATGATGGGGTACAGATACAGGTGTGTGGCAGAGGCAATGGAGTCATGAAGGGGTTGGTAGGCACCACCATGTGAGGAGTGGGTGGATACTGCAGGGGATGTGGTGCATAGCACTCCAGGGGAGCATACAGGTGGTTGGGAGAGATGTGGAGGGGTTCTGGCATAGCAACTGAAGTAGGGATGGGATGGGTCATATGGTTCATTGATGTCAGCATGGAAGTCATTGTTGAAGTAGTCAGAGCCAGGGTTCTCAGTGTTGGGGGTGTAGGACATTGCAGTTCAGAGGTTGTGAATGTGTCTGTACTCACCCAAAACCTCTTGGGCATTTATAAGGTTGTCCTCACTCCCCCAGCTGTTTTGGGAGTG